AATAAAAAATAATATAAATTTTGATATCAATATCATGTATTTTAATTTAATTAATTAATTATTAAATTTTATGTCAAACATTATTCATTTTATATGATTTAATGATAAAAAATAAATAAATATTTTTTAATACATATCTTAAAGTATAAATTAAAAAATTAAAAAATTAATTAATATCTATCTTGCCAAGTTGTGTTAATTAAATACTGTGAGGGATGGCCCATTACAGGACCGACACAAACACAACACTTCTGAAGAGGTCAAAATCTAGGGTCTGGAGATCCCTAACCTAAGGTCTCCAAGGGAATGATTATTATTTCCAACACTTTAACTTAATCATAAAATATATTTTAGCTTTTCTTCATATAATTCTTAATTAATTTTATCTTCTTAAAAAAAAGATTAACCATAAAGCTAGACAGTTTCCTTGCTTCTTCCATATCAGTAACATTGTGTAAGTCAAAAAACTACGACTTTAACCAGCTTTTAGAGGGTTAATTAAAAGAGAAAAGGTTGCAAAATCATACTAGAAGTATAATAAGTAATTTATTTCTTCATGCATGTTTTATGCCATCTATTAATTTTTGTTTTGGAACATTTTTAGGTGGTGAGAATTTAGAAATAATTTATTTATTAATAAAAAATGAAAATCCAGATATTTTACTATTAAAAATATTGAGATGTTAAATTTTAACTAGTTGATGGATAATATTTAAATAGGATCTATATTATATTTTACTCATCTTGTAACAGAATGTCTTGTTTTTTCCAACTTTTTATTGATATTATTTAAATATATATATATATATATATAAACAAAATTTTGATGAGAGGGTAAATAATAAAAGTTAAGGATAGACAACAATAACGTTCCATTAGAAAAAAATATTTATGTTCCTTTAAAAATTAAAAAAAAAATGATAATTAATTAAAACAAATGTTAAATAAAAATGATATTTATTTAGAGAAAGATGGAACAATTTTTGTTAAAAAATAGACTTAAATTTTCTTTTTGATATTTACAGTTACAGTGTTCACATGTCAATTTTCACACATTTAAAACTAACTTTTTCTTAAGTGATTTTAATAATATACTTCCTATATCGTGCTCGTGTTTTTAAAGAAATTAATTCTCTTTAATGTTGATTCCAAGATTTAAATTATAAATATAACTTATAAAAGGACATTTGTTTAACAATAAATACAACTCTTACAGTTAAAAAAAAGAAGAAGATAATTAGTAATTACATATCAAATTATAGAATCAAAATCATGCCCAAATTATATGTCCTTTTTAAGCTAATGGAAATGATTAGTTAGAGGGTAGGAATAATGCCCATTCGAGGCTCAATACATTCCATCCAAACCATACGCATCAAAATCTCGGCTAAACTAATTCCTTGTTCATTCTACAAGACACGATGATAGTAAAAATTCATTCAAAAAAACACATAAAATATAATAAAATTATTCTCTTACAATAATTTAAGGTTTTATTCTGAGAAAAACATTCCCCTTGAATCGCATTTTGAGGCTGGGAACAAGCAAACAAACAAAGAAACCCTTAAATCTCGAGCTAACATGTGTAGCCAGACAAAATTACACCTAATTTAATTTCTGGGAATGTTTTGAGGGAAGAAATGGGCATGTCTTGTCCGTACTGCCAAAATCTTTGTCGGGGGGCGCCGTGTCTTTTCTTAGGTACTCTTCTTTTTCACTTATTTTATGTAGCTTGTTTTTGTTCTTTGTGTAATTCCTTTCTCTCTAACCAAAACAACAAACTTCTCCTCCTTGTCTTCTCCTCTGCTTGCTTATATTCTTCTCTCTCTACCTTCTTTTTCCCCCATTTTACAATTTACATTTAAAGGTTAGGGTTAGCCTTGAAGTAAATTTTTTTTTTGAACAGTTTACAATTTAGGAGATTATGGGATTTTTCAAAGTGTTGGTAAGGTTTGAAAGCCCCAACCAATTAATCCAAACACTTTAAAACTTAGAGACGAACCATTTGGACCTTAAGGTCCGGTTCTTGTAATTGTCTTAATTAGTTTTTTACTTTACAAATATCTAAAAAATATAAGAATTAATTTAAAACTCAATAATAAAGTGTTGAAATGATAAATTTATCCCTACGAAAAATTTTATCATCATTACTTTACAAAAAGACAGGAGTAATAGGATAAAGTTGAAATAATGCTCCCTCAACTAGGCCCTTTTTAATTGTTTCATTTTATCAATCTACAATTACTAAGAAACTCATATAATGTAATATATATAATTAGGGTTTTTTAAACAAAAAAAAAACCCCTAACAAATTTTTATTTTATTCTAAATAAAGATAAAATTGAAATATAAACATTTATTTTTTGTTTGGTTTGAAAAAAACAAACAAAAAGGAAGGTATTTCATTTATTTTGCTTTAATTTTTTTATGCTTTCGTCTAGTCAGGCCAATAGAGGGAAAGGGAAAGGGAGGGATATGAATTTCTAATTAGGAAAATTTCTCCCCACCCCCTATAAAAATGGTATATTGTTTAATTTCCAATCTGAATAAAAAAAAAAATGTCAGATTCTTTATGTATGAGAGGTTTAAAATATCATTAATGAATCAATTCACAATTAGAAATTCCTTTGGCTTGTTTTAGACATTTCATTATTTTACCGAGAGTGAAATGAACATTTCTAACTAAATAAAATAAAATAAAAAATCTTATTAATTCAAAATTTTGCAACGTAATTAAATTGGGTAAATTATTTATTAGAAATATTGTCACAAAACAACCAAAAATTTCTACATCAGAGTCAGCTAATAGAGAATAGTCTACACAAAAATACAAAGACTCTAAAACTCAGAAGCATGATGAATTTTGTGTTCTAGTAATTGTCTTTATTTGTCCAAACAAAATCTTAGAAAAGAATGATGAATGTGATCGCCTCACCTGCACCCTATTTTTTGAAAATATTTTTTATTATATTAAATGCTAACTATCGAAATCAACGATTTAATTAGCAACAAAAAACAGTTTTGTTAATTAACAATATTGGAATCGACAAAGATCTTGAAACCCTCTTGGCCTGTTGTTTCCCTTCGACTTACGGAATATTATTACTCCACTACACCCATTGAAAGGTTG